TTGTTTGCTGTAAGTGTCAGAGCACAGCAGGAATGCTTAAAATTTCATCAATAATTTTATTATAGAGTATGATTTGAAATTGAAATATGCAGATTTTTAAAATATTAACTAACTGGGGAATATCTTCACACAACATGAAGAATCATTCCAAGCTTCATTTCTGAATGAAGATGAAATTGTCAAGTGGTTCCAAAGAGATTTAGTGCTGTTTGCTGTAGAGAGTTACTGTTTTATTGCTCCTGTCCTTTGTTCCCTAGTCTGCTACTTTACCTTCTATAGCAATGGCTATGCAAATTTTTCAGTTCAGAAAATTTTTTTTCCTGCTGGAATTTTGCTATTTTAGGAAATGCAAACTTCAAAGATAATGTTGCTGCCATTATCTGGCAGTCTTAGGAGTTCTGAAATCGGTATTTTAATACAATTTCACAGAAGTTCAGTCTCTTTTTTCTCGTAACTTTTATGCTTTTTTTAATCTTGACATTTTTTCCTTTTTTGCATCGCAGAGGCTCTGCAGTGAACAGGGAGAATTCCTCCAAGAGGACGAAGTAACCAAGAAGACGATTCATAAAGGCACACAGTACGCACACAGTGGTGCAACCATACATTTAGCAGTTGAAAGACTGAAACATTTCAAGTTAGGCAAGATTAGTATCAATAATTAACCACAAGCTGGGAGACCTTCATCAGTTCACCACATGGAAATGCTGAAAAGCCTGAACAGCTCATTAGGAAAGACTGACTAATAAACCCTTGCTGACCTTGGCTGCTCCTTTGAGCTGCAGCACCACCAGAGACAGAAGCATACATGATACAGATTTTCTTCTCTATGTGCATGCTGGAATACAGCAGAGAACACTCAAAGCAACCAGCCACCTTATGGATGCATTTCATCTTGTAAAAGTTAAAACAACAATCTCACCCTGAAGCAAAACCTTATTACCAAAGTCAGCATATATCCACATATATTAAAAAGTTTTGGGGTTTGTAAGTACTGTGGCATATTAAAGCTTTCAACACTATTAATCATTGGACCCCATATCCTAATAGCAGGTTTCAAAACATAGTGACTTTTGACAAATCATGATATCCCTATCCCATGCAAGAATTCACATATGCGTGAACAAAACTGTGGGGGAAAAAATTATTTTTCTCCAGAAAGGAATAATAAAAATCCTTAAGAGCATCCAGGTCAGATTTCTTTCAATTTAATCTGCTCAAAAGTATTCCAGTTTGTTATAATAGTCTACCTATAGAAAAAGAAGATTTAGAAAAACTAAAATAGTGTAAGATGTTTTGATTTGGTGTTAAAATATCCAATTTGTGATGTATATTATGAAGTCAAAATTAAATTCGACTTTGACATCTAAGTAAAAGGCAATTTTATTTGCCAAAATAAAACTGAGATCACCCAATTCTATAAAAAGGTATTTTGATAAGCATTCTGACATACAAGAGCTTTCAACACTATTCACCATTGCCTCCTACAGCTGAATTAAAAATTCCAAAATGTTGCAGAGAGAAGCAGCACCTTTTGTTGTACTCATGTCATAATTAAAGAGTAATGGAAGCATTCATAAATGGAAGCATGCTGACCACAAGGAAAAACAAATGAGAAGGTGAAAAGACAAAGAGACAAGAAAGAACTTAGGAAGTATTAGACATGAAAAAACAGATTTGCAAAAGAATGAAATGGTCATAATAGAGCTAGAGTTTTGTTACTTAATAAAACTCTAAATGTTTTTATGCCTTTATGGTCTCACAAAAAAATAAAAATAAATTATCTTTAAATTATCAGATAATTTTTACTGGTGCTATGACTTTTCCTTTCACATTCCTTTTTCTTCCACATTTTTCAGTGTTTTCTGAAGCACTTTGAGGAACTGGTCTTTAACCTCTATTTATGATATGAAATAGTTTTCCAAGTTAAGGAAGTTCTGTGAAAAGGAAATTACTTTCTACCCACTTCTACATTTCAGCTCTTGGAACCTTCACAAAAAAAGCAAAAATGCAAACATTACCATGGAGGCCACAAAGGTCACTATGAACACCTCATGATACATTCTTCCCTAAATGAGGCCAGCTTGCTCTTTTGTAATGCCACAGACAGCTTTATACCAACTGCATTGCCATTCACTATTTCTTAATTTTCAGTAAGATATTCATAATTGTCATAGATGCAACTATACAGGTATTTTTTTCTAAAATTTGCCATGAGATCTTTAAGAGGTGCAAAACCAGGGTTTTATTATATGACATTTACTGAATTTTTTAATATTTATTTATGAATAATTTATAGGCTAGCTATAGCTAATTTTTTATCAAATACCTATTAATATTTCTTACACTATATTATATGACATGCATTATGTAATACTATTATGTAACAGAAATACCTGAAGATACTAATATTCTCAGTTTGGAAATATATAAAAGATCTAGTGAGCTGGTGGAAGCCTAACAATCTGTGTTGGAGAAAAACATCCATGCATAGGGTACAGGGTTACAGGACAGCTAAGGACTTTTCTTCCATCTTCAAAAACAGCCTCAAACTCCCACATAGCTAAAGATGAAGGGATATTTGGTAAGTTTGTTCTAAAGGCAACATGGAGACATCAGGGAAAAAGTATGCTTGAATGTATGCTTGAATTTTTACTCATTTTATCAATTTAACTTACAGGAAAAAAAAGCACGGCGCACCCTTGTGCAGCTTGGTGTTGGGTTAAATATTAAGCACTGCAGACAGAATTTTGTCTTCAAGTAAATTCCTTTCTTTCAGAAGTCAGGAGTCCATTTACATTATTTTGATTTATGTTGTTGTCATCTACTTAGTTGGTTGTGAGATATTAAAGATTTGGTTCTGTTGGACAAACACTACAAAGGTGTTGACAGCTTGACTTATCAATTGAGCAACTTCAATTTAGTTTCATAATGTGCAAGATAATTTCTGACCTAAAACTAAAACAGATACACAAACAGTGGGCAGGATGTCACCACACTCAGTTTAGAAGGAAGTATGAAATATGAACACGTTTTGTGGGAACTTCTTCTGAAAGACTCAGCTGACATCTAGTGGCAAGAGCAGGGAAAGCAAAGCACTTAACAGCACAGAAAAGAAACCGTTCCATGTCTTTAAACTATATTATTCAGTATTTTGTTAACATTAAGTGAAAAATTCAAGAAATCCTTTGAATGCAGCAATAGCATTACCCTTTTAGACATTACTTTCATGTGGATGATTCAGTTGAATTATATACATTAATTAACCCTTCAAGAGTTAAGTGTTGGGCAGATTGTCATGCAAGAAGAGATGGTGCAGATTCATAAGTAATTGACTTGGTGTAATACATGTTATAATCTTATTAAGTATACACACTACATGACAAAAACTGTCACGTGCCCTCCCTACCCAGTGATTGTTGTGCATCTTTCAAGACTGCTGCATTCACTGAAACTTCAGTCTCATAGATTCAGCACCAACCCTCAGAAACTAGTGGTATGGGTAAAGCCCTAGCTGCACTCTGGGTATTCTGTATAAAGTTTATAGGAAATTAACACAGTGATAACAAATATTGAAGAATTAAAAACAATCTGGAATTCCTGTTTACATACTCAAGAAAAAAAAAAAACTACAATAAGAAACAGAACAAAAGTACAGGGCACTTTCTAATGCTAAAGAATAAAAGTATCACTCACTTGTAAGCCACTATATAGAGGTTTCAAGGAACAGAACCTAGATAATGTTACTTACTTTCACTTTCAGAGGACAATTCAGTAATATTTTGAGAACTTTCCCATACATATAACTTCCATAATTCTTAACATTTCTCTAGGCCTTTTAGGAATAACAAAGACCAAGGGTCTACTCCTAACCTTTTGAAGAGAAAGTATGATAATCAAACCTTCTTCATAAACACCACATAAGGAATTTGGATCCGTTTGCAAAAGAGCTGCTTAAAAGACATTCCTGTCTGTAGGTTCCTTCAGTGCATAGCATAAAATCAGATTTAACCCAAGAACTTCCCATAGTTGGGATACTTACCATCATATTTTTCTGTTATACCACTAAAGAATAAAATGCAACAAAGTGTAACATTAAATCATTACACCATTTCATTCCCCCATTCTATGTTCCCACTGAAATTTTATACTGTAAATTTCAATACGTCGCATTATACAATGTGATCTGCCTAATGACACAGTTAATGTATCACTGTACTGGATTATCAGAATTGCCATCCTATTAAATCTGTTTATTTTCCATTCTATTTGCTTTAATGATGATGAAGGAAATACTGAATGTTTTGTAATTGATGACCACTAATGATTTGGCATACGAACCTGTATTAGAACACAGTGCAGCTATACTTAAGAATATATCGTAACTGGTGAGAAAAGAAAGATGCTGGTAATTTTAACTAGGGGTGATCACCAAATTCAGTTATACTGCCATTTAAAATCCTGTTTTTATGATAAAACCACTCTATTGTAATATTTCACTTTACTTACCACAGCCAAGGGAAAGTGACTTCTAATACTAAACTGTTATTTCTCATTTTGATAACTAGCTGATCAAGTTTACACTTTAAAAGAGCAGACATCAATAAAGAGTGCTCAATACTAAACTTCAGAAAGTCTCACACATGCTTATTTTCCTGTTAAAATTACAGAAAATTGCTTCTACAGAAGAATGTTCAACTGAGAAAGACTAAGTAGTTAAACACCAGTGTCAATACTGCACTGCTGTGTTAGGCGGAAGAATTTAACAGAACAACAATAAGGAGAACTACAAAAAGGAAACAAATAAAACTGCTTTCAGACATCATTTATGAGTGCAGGTATAGATTTTAACAAAATTAATTTTAGCTGAGCTGGCAGTCAACTGAAAACAACTTCTAGAAAGAAAGAATTAAATTCTTAACATTTGATAGAAAGTGTATATTTGCACCACTTAAATATGTAAAATGCACTAGACAGAGAAATATATAATTACAAAACTATACCTTTAATGTTTCAATTTCTTCTTTGTGTTCCCTCTTCAAATGCAGAATGGCAGCTTGGTACTCTGTAGAAATAAAAAAAGTACATTCCCTTAGAGTCAGAAACAATATGCCGTCTTCAGCATAGAATATTTCATACAACACCACTGGGTTCAGAGTGCAGGTGTAGGCTCTCAAATAAATGACCTTTTGTGGTGGTGATGGAAAAGAAAATCTGAACACAGTAATTAGCATTTTTTTCTAAGACCACATGACCAGATTTTCCATGGTGCTTCTGAGAGAAGAGGATAAAGCAGAGGTCTTCCATGCTAAGAAGGGAAAATGGGGGAAAAATATGACAGACTGAAATAACAAAAGGAAACTATAGTTTTGCATTATTTTGCAAATAAATGTGGAACTGATAGGATATTATGACATGCACATGCATGCATACACACACCCTCACCTGAATTCTAAAACAACACGCATCAAGTACAGTGATTTAAATGGACAAACACACAATCACTATACACAGTCAAACTGGATAAAATAGCAATCACAAATATAAATTAAGACCTCAGAAGGTACCAAATAGTGACATACAAAGAATTCTCTCTCTCAATTCTATCATAAGAACAATCACAGAGTTTAAGTACAGAATCCTGTGAATGACATACAGGATAGTTCTGCCATTTAGCAAGAATACAACAAAATCCAAAGGCTGAGAGTATGAAACTGAAAGCCAGAGAAATTTAAATCAGCAGTGAAGAAATGAGGAGGTCAGGCATTGATCATGCAGGTTTAGTGATGGCATAGATTTACGAAACGTCTAGGACCACTAATACTATGGTTCCCCTTAATCCATACCATGCCTGCATTTGGCCAGATGAAGAAACAGAAACTCCTTCAAAACACCAGTCTAAGGCTTTAAGAGATCTTAAGAGAGTCTTTGGTAAGACACTGGCCCAGAAGGTACAGCCCTCCTAAACAAGTGACTGGAGTTTCTTGTTAGATGACCAAAGTCCCACTTCCATCTGGTTTCAAATCAAAACCTATCCAAAAGCGTGTTTCCAGTTTTCTGGCTTGGCTTCTGCCTCCTCAACTAAATCCTAACTTAAACAAGGTTTGAAAACAGGCCAAAGAATTTAAATTTTATTGTCAATGTGTCTAAGACTAAGGAGTCTGCATGACCCATTCAACAGAAGAACTAACAAAATAGCATTAAAGTATCAAAGTATGAACCAAAGTACCAGATAAATAAAACATTTCAGTGCTTATCTGCTCTTTATTTTTTTTTCTTTTTCTCTTCAGAGCACATGAAAGAAAGAGGAAAGAAAAGGTAACTTGATCATCACCATGAATTCTACATGACATGGAAGCTTTTAATGTAAAGCTTCCATGTCATGTATGCATGGATTTTTTCCAAACACAGGTGAAGTTATAATCAAGCAGCTGAACTGATACATAAAATCAAAAGGAAACAGGATCAATATTTTATACAGCGTAAAATAAAAACCTTGGTGATTCCAGCTATCTACAGCATCTATCTAAACTTCTCCTTGCCCTCTAACAGGTCTCTACTTAAGAGCTTTCAGGCATAAGAGAATTGCCTGTCTGCTCTGCTGGAATCACAACTGGTTAGGTCGACAAACTTTTAGATTTTTTGCTGTTATTTCCTTTGACTGGTTGATATTCCCTATGGATACAGGCTCTGCATATCCATTCACCTAAACAGAATATAAAACAATTGCCTCAGGTCCCCAGAAAAAGTTGTGACCCTTCTGGCACCTCAGCTGCCTTAAGCACTCAGTGTGCAGGGCATGAACCTTATGAATGTCCTAACTTGAAGGTTAGCTCTTTAGGGTCACATGATAACTGAAGCGAATAACAGGCTTTGAAAATGCTCCTAACAATCAGTTCTTAGTTTAGCTAACAGAAGGATACAGATCTATCTTAACAAAAGATCTACTTTCTATGTGGAATTGCCCAATGATTAAAATTCTTTGAGATTTGGGTAAGAGAGTCATTCACCTATGATGACACAGACCTGCACTAGCACCAGAAGCAGATTTTTCACCATGTCTACCCATTCCCAACCCTCTGTTGTTTATTTTTTTATCTTGGCACAAATGTTTGCACAATTAGAGAATGATGGAAGAACCCCTATGAATGAAATCTAAGACAGCACAAGAATTTAATTTTTTTTAACAACAATTAAGTATATGTCATTGCTGGCACTTGTTTTTCATTGCTTCTAGCTGAAAGCTCTGAAGCAAATTCTAGAGATTGTTTTGTTTAAACTTTGTTCTAAAGCAGAAGACAGAGAGTAGCAATTCTTTTACCATTTTGCTATTCCTTAAAAATATGCTTAAAAAGTACTAAGCTAGGAGAATAAATAATAAAAACTATTTTCTTAAAACACAGCTATTGCATAAAAACAAGTGCATCATAAACTGATATACTGTAACAGATTTTATAGATTGTTTACGATGATATAAACTGACATTCAACAGCATAAGTTTCTAATTTTATTATTTTTAACTAGAAGAAACTATCTATTGGATAGAAGGTGATACTCAGCAAAGTACTTCAATTCTCAAGCAAATGTTTATTTTTCTGTACAAAATATTATAATGCAAATCACATCACAATTATATTGCCTTGCATAATATAAAGTAACTCATGACCATTCCTTTTCTATGTTTTGTGAGATCACCTTAATTTAGTACAATCGTACACAGATAGTTAACATTTTAAGAAAACAACCTGTATACAGAGATGGCAATCAGAATCATTAAAATGTTGAAGAATTTGTCTAGAAAAAAATAATTTCATTCATGCAATTCCAAAAATCAGTTCCTTAACATACTGGCAACAGAATAATGAAGTTTAACTATGCAGTGGTGTTGGAATGCTGCTTAGGGTGGTAAAAATCAAAACAGCAAAGTAAACAATAATGACATCTTAACAGAAGGAACTATAGGAGAAACAAAATATGTCAGGCTTTATACGCTACTTAATTCTTAAATTCCGTTTAACTAAAAAAAAATTCATTTAGACTACACATAAAATCCAGAAATACCAAGGTATCACTGGATGATTTGTCTAGGTTAAAAATTAACAGTGCCAGAGTTGAAGAAATGTGATATGGCTCTGTAGCCAGCCTGATTCTCACATAACCACTGGAACTCATTCGGCCTTGTGAGCCAAGACACAAGAACACCCGAGGGCAGGTCTCAGCACTAGCACAGACACAAGGCTGCAGCTGAACTGCACCTCCCACTTCCTGGTGCTGCCCTACCTTAGGGGCCTTCCAGACCGACAGGGAGAAAAGCTACTAATCACAAACCACAGAATGGCTGAGGCTGGAAGGGACCTCTGGTCTGCATCCCCACCTCTCCCAGAGCTGGCTGCCCAGGACCAATAGCCTTCCAATAGCTTTCAAATTCTTCCAGGAATCTTCACCCTCCTCATCCTCTCTGGGCACCCTGTGCTAGTTTCTCAGTCACCTTCACAGTGAGAAACCATTTCCTGATGTTTAGTCAGACCTTTCTGTGTTTCAATGTGTGTTCACACTGATCCTGATACCATGCACCACCCAGCTCTCTCATTTTTGCACCCTACATTATAGGTCCAAGCTGATCCTTGTGTCACAAGGTGATTCTTTACCTAGTTTGTGCAATGTCAGGGGCGTTGCATTTTCATAAAATCAAAGAATCATTAAGGTTGGAAAAGACCTCCAAGATCAAGTCCAACCTTTCAGCAAGTATCTCCATGACCATTAAACCATATCAAGAAGTGACACATCTACTTATTTTTTTGAATACTTCCAGGGGTGGTGACCTGTTTCAGTGCTTAACCACATTTTCCTAATACCCAAACTGAACCTCCCCTGGTGCAACTTGAGGCCATTTCACCTTATCCTATCACTAGCTGACTGGGAGAAGAGACCAACCCCTGGCTGCTACCTTCTTGCAGGTAATGAGCAATAGGTCTCCCCTGAGCCCAGAATAAACAACCCCAGCTACACTGGCTGCTTCTCATAGGAATTACATTCCGGATCCTTCATCAGTTTTGCTGCCCTGGACATGCTCAAACACCTCAATGTCAATTTGCTGAAGCTTTAAATTTTTTTATTATGACACATAACAGAAGGCTGATTGTACAAATATCCTGTTGTACTTGCCTGGTCTCCAATGTGCCTGCAAGAAGACAGTGGCTGTAGAGCATAAATTTATCTTCCCCTTAAGCAGATATTACTCCTAAGAACTTTTGAGACAAATCAGATAAAAATCAGACTGCAAGTGCTAAGTGCACCAATCCCAAAAAATTACCACATGCAAATTAGGATTTTGTTACTGAGAGAATAATTTTAAAAGTCACTCATTTATAAGGGGCATTCAAGCTAAAAAGTAAACAATCACATTGCACAGATTCCACTCCAAACAGCTTGGAGTCTCAGTTTTTATTTACTACTTCTAATTTACTACTTTTTCCTTTGTTTTCAGAGTATGCCATCCCAAGAAAAATGTAATAGATCATGTAAGCTGTTGCCTACTTGGGCATATTCTTTATTTTTGGAACCTGATGCTACCTGCAATCAATAATTGTACTGCACTGAAGCTAAGGCAAACTTTCATAAAACTGATCATTTTTTCTAAGATAGTGGGATGAAGCAGAAATACATTAACAAGCCTTAAACAAATATTTGTTACATTTGCCGATAGCTAGCAACATATCATTTAATTGTAAAATGTTTCACTAAAACATTTTCGAAAGTAATCTGAAAGTTGGCAAAGTACATAGGAAAATGTATAGAGAACTCAGTGATGACTGAAGATATATAGTGACATGAAAATGCAAAATTTCCTTTTTCTATGTTGTTGTTGGAAAAATAAATCAATTATTCATTGTAAAAAAATATAATCTATTTCCATTTACTTGCATGTTTTGCCATAGCCAGCAGATAACATTCTGATGAGAGAATGCTAAATTTGTGTTCGGGTCTTCCCTACTTCTACTAACTTTGCATCAGCTGCAAATTCTCAAGTCTTACTTTTCCAGTTCAATTCTATTCTTTTATTACAGTTTTTTGTCCTACTTTTTTCCTAATGAGTAGCTTGCTAAATGGTTTTTCATAGTAACATATATATTTCATATTTCCTTGCTCAACTGCACGTTCTTATAAGGTGCTTGGGAAAAAATAAACCACGATTTTTGAAGTGATGAACTACATAATTATCATGATCCTGTTCTGCCACCCGTTGATACAGTCAATATTAGAAAGTATCATAACTTCCAGTCATGCTATATTTGGTTCTGCTTACATGCAACTGCAGGAAGAAGTAAATCTAATTAGTATTTTATCTGATTTTAAAAAAATTACCTTAGCATTGAACATTGCAAAGACAGAACCAGTGCAAACAGGATAACCTTCCTTCCCTGTCTTGTTTGCTATCAGTCTGCTTCATGATTTTAAAGTACATTGTCAATGTGGATCATATAAAGATAACACTGACTAAAACAATACCAGTCCATCTGGAAAATACATTATTTTCTTCATTTGAAATACTCCAGTTAAAGCCTGGAATTAACATCTACACAAGTAATGGGCTGCAAGAAGGAAATAAAATTGTGTTTTAACTAGCTACCAAGTGCAAGGAGGAAGTAACTCTGTGTCCTGTAATTTCATCAAACATAGTATGTGAACAGATAAATAATTTTTGTTGAAGCACAATGGAAAAACTGAAGCTGCAACCCCAAACAGTTCAAAATGGTTGAATAAGGAAGATTGACACAATGTCAACAAACAGCTTAAAGTGCTGTCCAGTATCAGACAAGGAGTTTGTTATAGAATCACAAACATCTACTGTGTGAAACAACACAGTATCACACACTGTGAAACAGTGGACAAATGCCTATACCCTTATGGACATCAACATCTGCTAGAGTGAAAACTGTACAAATACACAGAGAACATTAGGGGTATGGTATATAGGTATGGCACCAGAAGTTTTACTCATGTTCTCTTGAATAGCAATTTTTAAATTAAAAAGTACCTGGAACCCAGAAAGCTGACAGATACCGAAACTTACATATAGGGAAAAAAGTAGTCTAATACAGGAAAGCTGCCATTAATGAACAGCTTATCCTGATTAAGTTATACAAAAAGCACAATCTTTTCAATAGTTATTGTACTTCATGAGTTTTAAATTTAAACACAAAAAACTTGAAACAAAGGAACATACATTCAATATATTGGGCTAATTTTTGAAGCAGTGCATTTTCTAAAATTTTGACCCTGAAAGCTAATCTTGCAAATAAAATGTGTAACACAGGACTGCTTGAATCTACCCTTAACAATCATAAAAGCCAAGTATCTAAACAAGTGGAATGTTCTAGTATTCATAGGCTTTTGATATCTAAATAAGAGCAATATTTATTGCCCCAACTGCTCAGCTTTATTATTTTTCCTGATCTTTTAGGATAAACATGCTCTCCAGGCAACATACCTGTAATTTCTGTGAGCCTATCTGGGACCATGGTTTCTACAGGGAAAGCTAAGTTACAATACTGAAGTGCTAAGGATATTGAATGGGCGGTTTAGTTTCTGCTGATTTCTTTAAAACACACTGAATTCGCAAATAAGTACACCTCTAATCCTCTTAGTTACAAATTCAGATGATCTTCAAAATGTGAACCATCTATCTGTATGATCAGTATTGTCAACTGTGTTCAAGAAGTTACATAGGAAGAGATGAGTGCTAGGATTTTCTTCTTCTGTTTCACAAACAAGTCTAAGATGTTGTTTACTTATTTGTTTCATTAGGATGAATGAAAAAACATGAGATTTTTATGGGACAGGCAAATACAATTTGCCCACTTGCCTGGTTTCCCAGCAGGCAGGAAATAACACAAGTGGCCTCCAACTTTAGGTACCTAAGAGTTTCTACAAAACTTTGCACCACCACCAGAGTCCTGTGAGGAAGAGCCCACGCTGAGTGAGATTTAGGAATGGCACTCCCCAGTTCAGTGCCCCCACCAAGACTCCCCCAAATGACACACTGCTCTCTTGTTCCTCCTTTCCCTCTCACTTCCCACTGAGATTTGGAGATGTTATAAATGAAGATCACAGGTTGAGATATGAACAGTTTACTGGAAACAGCAATGAGATAAGAAAATGAACAGTAATGGCAACAATATTAATAACAAAAGTATAAAAGACTGAGGGTGATTCACGTGCAAAAATGCTCACCCTGGATCCTGAGACAATGAACAATGGAGCATGGCTTCCCCCCTCCTGCCATGCTTTTTTTGACTGGAAGCTGGAGTCCCTTTCTCCCCACCCCTAACAATGATATAAGGTGTTATCAAATAACATTAGGGTCCTGGGTGAAACTAGGACATGAGGAAAATAGGAAATGCTTGCAATTGAACTGTGAGGGAGGAAGGTGTCTCAGACCAGACTGCTCAAAAGTCCATTTAATGTCAGTCTATACAGACAATAGAACTTCCCTAACCTAAGATCACTAATGGCATGTGCAGGGAAATTCTAACAAGTTCCAATACAAGTTGCTTTAATTGATGCAAAATTGCCTTAACACCATCCTATTTCCTACGAAGTATCCATGCAGCTGTGACAAACATGATTGGACTGTCATTATGAAACTTCAAAGGGAACAGGAGGGCTTCAAAGTACTTCGGAGTTATTTCTTCTAATATGATGTCTACTCACATCATCATCTAAATGGTGTTTCACGGTAGAATTAAGAAGTAGTTCTTCACTGACCTAATGTAAGAAGAGTTTATCCTGGTCATAAGGTTTGTTTTGAAATCTTATAAGATAATCATACTGAATCCTCACTAACATCTAGTATTCAATTACAAAAAAGGATCAAGAAAAAAAACCAAAAAACAAAAACAAATCTTAATCCCAACAAAGTTTTAAGTCAGTAGATTGCTATTTTGTAATTCTATGAAAAGCATGACAGCAGGAAATTACCCAATGAATAAACATACACAGAAAAATACAAATGCTTTGAAACATGCCTTATTCAGTATTTCCAGTTACTTCAGCAAACAACTGCAAAAGCAATAGGGCCAGTTGAATGAGATATTGAGATACCTGGGCTAGTGGGAAGTATCCCTGGCCCTAACAGGGGAGTTGGAGCTAGAGGATCTTTAAGGTCCCTTCCAACCCAAACTGTTCTGTGATTCTATAATTTGATAATTCAAAAGAGCTGCTTAAAAGGAGCTTCTGAGTCATGAGCATTTGTTCAAAATGTCTTTCTTAAGCTTCACTTAAAATCCAGAAAAGGCCAATGCTCTGCATGTCCTGCTCTTGGTGGGTATAAAACCGAGTAAGAAAACAAAGACACAGCAGGGGTTATAAGTGAAATAAACTTCCAAATATCAGGTTAATATAGTTAATTCTTTTTCTTAAAGGACAATTAAACCTCCTTTTCCTTCAAAAGACAACACTACTGATTCATTACTGGAAGGCAGCACTGCCCATGGCAGGGGTGTTGGTACTAGATGATCTTTAAGATCTATTCCAATCCCTTAATATACTATGATTCTATGATTACTAATGACATTATCAGTTAGTATTTAATTAACTCTCACATGGTTGTCAATGGGATTTTACTGTATTTCCTTGTCAGCCTTACATGTGCTGTTGTTCTGAATAAGGATCAGTATATGTACAAATAGTTTTCCGTAACTCTAATGTTAAGATCTATGACCATGTAATTTTCACTACTGTCTTTGCTCCAAAGACTTTAGGAAAACAAACAAACCACTGCCAAATTACGGCATGTCTAATGTGAGAACAAGAAGAAAGTAACCTAAATTCCACTCACTTTAGTGGGAGGGCAGCCATTGAAACTGAAGTTCCACAAGCTAGAAATCTGAAAACAGTTCCTGATGTCTTATAGAACTTCTGTATTCTTACCAAGTTCTTAGTTCTTCACAGTGGTAGATATAGCAGACTAAGACTTTATCACTTCTATTCCATCAAGGAAAGATAAATAGGACCTTTATAGTAACAAAAGACACCAAAGTGTAGACAGAGACAGACAACATTATACTGTTCCACCCACCTGGTGGTCCCTCCTTGTAAAGCTTTAGGTGAGCTAGAGACAAAGCATAAGTAAGATGGTGTTTAAGCTTCATTCAGAGAACTTGTACTTTACACTCATTAGCTTCATGTTCTAGCAGGTAGTCTTGCACACCCCCTGCTTTTCATTTCATTACTAAAAGTATATAACTGAACTGGTATTTGAAGCTCCCCCTTATGTTATTTTGTCTTGCAAAAAATTATGAACTGCTTGTGAACTGCCAAATTTCTGAAGTGTTGTTAAACACTAGCTCAGCCTATCAAATAAAACCAAAATCAAATAGCAAGTACTTAAATAAATTTCTACCATGTAAAAATATCCCATGAATGTTCCTTGGTTAACTATGGGTCACATGCAACACTATGAAAACAAAGCCTCCTCTGTAGTACTACCCAGTACCAAAAACAGGCCACACAAACCGAATACACTTAGAAATATTTCTGTAAAGCTCTCAGCTTGATATATATACACAGATTATCATATGCTGATTTTATTCATTCCTCAAAACTTACAATTGGAAATAACAATCATGCTCACTCATTATCGTATTTTCATGTTGTGTGTTAAGGGAAGGAGACCAAAGCAGATCAGAAAGCTTAGACTTTACTAAGAGATTAATTCCTTACAATCTGATTAGAAGACAGAAGTTTGGGGTGGGAACACTTTGAAGAATTCCTCATTCTGTTTTTCATTTCCAAAACATGCATTTAAAAAAGAAAGTTTTAGACTGTGCAATAGCAGTGACTGATATTGCTGACATATGTGACAGACAAAATATGCCACCAGGTGGCAGAAATAAAACATAAAACAAAAAAAATATTCTTCATTATTAGTAAAGTATGAGACATGCTTCACTGTTTTGCAAAGAAAATACACACTAAAGCATGTGTGCTTTTCCTAATGCAGAGAAAACTGAACATGAAAAAAAATTTGGATGTTTTGGACAACCTACATAATCAAAATGCCTAATGTATGTTCAGTTTTATCATCACACAGAACTTTTCTGAACACAAAGCAACAACAATGTTTACAAATGTACTCAATACATGTTCATGAAAATCTTATAATACTGAGTGTGCTGCACTCTTCACCAACATTTCTAGAAGAAAAGATACAAGCATTCACTGGTCAATCTGGTGACCTGAAAATTCAATCTACAACCCCAGAAATACTGGATAGGGTGGGTCACAAGTTTCAAAGGGAAATTTTCACTCTTCAAAATTGTTGCAAAAAGCAAATACACACATTCAAATATTATTCAGTATTATACTATTGTGTTCACAACTGTGCAATGCAAGAATTACCTTTTCTTCTTTGGCAATAAAAGAACTAACCTACTTGAATAATTTTAAATAAAATCTTACATGAAAACCTTTCCCACAGAAATCTCCATAACTCACATTTCAAGTAGATGGGTTACTCCTCAAAATTTACACAGCAATTTAGGAAACTTCTCTACCATAATCTCAAAACTTCATGTAGAAAGCATAAGCTTTGAAGTTAAATGAACTATATAGCCACTTCTGGTCAGTACACTCATTTTTGTAAAAAGCCATACATATTAAACTTGGTGTGTGGAAACATGCAAAATAATGTTAACACAATTAATTTAAAGGTAATTAGAGAACAAAAGCTAGAAAACTTGAGTGCAATCTACCTTTCTTGAGATGTACCACACCCTGCAGTATAAAGAAAATCATTAACTTATAATTGTACAGATTCATTAATTTTCAGAATAGTGAGGGTTTCTCAATGTTTTCTCCCTGCGTGGTAACCCTTGGTCCCACTTTCAATACTCCCCTTTACTGCAGCATTTGTTTTCTCCTCTATTTCCCCATGTAGTTCTCACCTTTAACCACCGGGTGTCAGAAGGGAACCTACTCACCACAGCTACACTTGTTAAATTACTTTTCATTTATTTTTACAGATGTATTGATACGACTTTCCAGGCTCTCCCAGGCTACAGTCATAAAACAGCAGCAGATTTTCAGGTTTTTGTTTCAATAAAAATACACACAAGAAACTTTCAAAATCTAAGTTGTTCCATCTTGGACTGGTTTTTATAAAGCATAGCTGCATTTAAGCATCCTTTTATAACTAGGAAATTAAAATTTATTTATGCTCAAAGAAATTCACAAGATTACCTATTTTTCAGGGTTAGAAGATCGGATAAAATAATACTGCATGTTGTTTGAAAACATGATTTTAATCCTCCTTCCCCCAACCCCATTCTATCTACTCCTACCCATCTTCTCTTCTTTAGTTACAGTAAAATTGAACTGTTTTACAGACCCATAATTCCTTACATGTAAGGATGCCGAATCCACAGAGCGGAAAATGAGCATATATCCTTCACTTGAGCTTAATTTTTGTTTTGGTTTTTTTTTGTTTCATTTTTAAGATAAGGAAGAACCCTCCAAACATAAAATTTCAAAAATTCTCAGCACTGTAAGGATTCCAGTACAGTGAAAATATGGCAGATGTGAGGAAAGGAAACAAATGAAGAGGGACTTGTGGAAAATAAACAGTCCAAAACAAGCCAACAGTCCAGTATCCAAATACGGTCCAAATATTTAAATAATACAAACACCAGAGTAAGCCTACCACAGGACATGAAGTATCTTAACAATAGCCACTGAATTCCCCAAGAATAATAGAACTGAATACACAAAAAACCAGTTTCCTATGGAAAAACCTGCACCCCCTTGATGGTCTATGATGGGAAGGAGGAAATTAGTTACTCCTCTTTCTGATTGCAAAGCAGTATAAAGCACTATTCAAAAGCAGTCACCTGAGTAACTTATCTGCCTGACCACTGCTCAGCTGTGAGGGGTTACAGTTACAGCTCATTTACCTGATAGCAGAGATGAATAGTTTCGCTTGTCATTTCACCCTCCCAGAAAGGCAACACTACAGGTACTGCTGCTGGGGACATTCAACACGAATTCTTTCTCAATAAACATCCTACTTCATTTTTACAAAACCAATCTATTACAGGATCACATTCTCTATGGTAAACAAGTAGCTCTTTTAACAGCACACATGAGGAACAGATTTATTACAGAGTATATGTCTGTGCCATAGCAGAGGGAGCAAATCTGGCAGGGCTGATATTGAATTTATCTGAAAAAAAATCCAAACAGCAGTTTTAAATGCAGGTGCAAATTTTCAGAAAGCATCACAACAAGCAAACAGTGAGACTGAAGAACAGGAAAGGGAATTCAGTAAAACTCAGAGGCATTTCTTTTACACAAAGGGCTTCATATATTTCAAAATAGAACCATGGAAATAAAATACAAAGTCATTCTTCTTGTGTACACAATGGCTCTTTCACTGTGTTTCAATTATATAACAAGAATCATCTCGTAAAACGCTGTGACTTTTGGGTCTTGGCAAAATTGGATTGCTCAGGTGCATAGTACAGTCTATATCTCAAAATTAAAACAACAGTAAAAGAAATAATTCACACAATTTGCCTTCATTATATTCAGGTAACAGATTAATCTTCTCACTAGGAAAATATTAAACTTAGAAATCAGCTTTCTAATCCAAGTGGACTAAAGCTGTTCTGTATGTGAATCTCAAGCGTGCTTGTATCCGTAGCTACACATGTATGTCTATCCAGACATGGCTCTGGATTCTGTAAAACCTGTCCTTGTTAGGCACCTGCTGCAAAACATGCACCCAGGCTCAAAAACAATAGGTCTCCTAAAATGACTACATTTCTACAGAGAGTATGCATAAAAAAAATAAAGCAACGATTTTTACTGAAAAACTGGAGCATAATTCTTCTTCCCTCTCACCTTGAAAAAATATAATCCTCAGTGTATGGGAAGGCATGGGCATTTTATCCCATGGCCTTAGGTACAGTTACCATTCTGGAACTGTGTGGCTGGTCTGGGCTTTGTTTTTAGATTTAAGTTTGAAAAGTCAATATTCTTTCCTATTCTGCATCTCTATCTAATGCTAAGAGCCTATAAACAGAAAAGGAATTTAATTTGACTTGAAAAATAGGTCAGAATTCTTATCCTAATTTTACGGATGGATAAACTGTAACTTGGAAAGGTTCCCAAAACTTTCCTGAAGCCATTTCAGAAAGTAGTAAAAAAGACTGAAATTGGTACACAAATGCCTTAACAACAAAAATTCATCTTCCACAGGTGCCTATATTTTTGTTCCTGTCTCAAGAGACACAGTGTGAATGACAGTCAGCTGAGGTGGGGAGGGAAAAGTAAAGGGTATTTTTGTGGCTTGGTTGTTTTGGAGCACGGTTTTTGTTAGAATTTTTGAAATAAATCTTAGCCAATACCTTCTGAATCCATCAAATCATAGCTTTAGCTATCATAAGTAAGGGGAAAAAAAGTCATTGTTACTCTAGAATACCATATGGTTGCCAAAATCTGGCTTGTAGTAAAACCCTCAGCTTCTCAAAAACACACATGTGTATTTGTCTGATCATGAAACACTGAATTACATGCACCTGTCATGCTACACAATAATAATGCAGTAAAGTGTAGTAAAATAATTTACAAAACCTGTATGCACTCTGAGGTCATATCAAATTGATCAGTGAATCAACCACAAAAGCACTACCTTGAAGCAATGCAAAATATCCTGTTTGCTATACTACTGCTTGATCTAATTCCCTATAATAAAATTTATAACAGAATCCCACAGAACTAACACCACACTGAAATGAAATAAACGTAAATTACTATTTTATTTTCTTTTACTTAGGATGAAACCAACTGTTGGTAGCCACTGTTACAACTTTCTTCAGGACACTTGACATCGAGCATTGTCTTTCTCTCAAAGACAAATTGTTCAAGGCCACAAAGGAAGCTTATGTTGAAGGAAGATAAGAAATCATGCTCTTATCTCTCATCCTTTTGTTCCAACCCTTATACCTCTCTTTCTCTCACATAAGCTGGAGATGCATTCCCTGCATTTAGGGCATATGGCCCTACATCATGGCCATACAGTGATTTTCTTGCTGGGAACTAAGAGTACAGGGGATCAAGGATTTGATTTATTCGAGACTTAGCATTAATCCTCTGCCACTATTTTGTATTTCATTCACCATTTACCCAGGTATTTTTTGTCTAATAAGACCTTTATCAGGCACCTCCTGATTTTCTAATTTACCTTGAAATTCTGCTTACATCCTCACAGACTGTTCTAGAAATTGTGGCACCATGGAGACAGAATTACCTCACTGCAGTTTTAAAGATGATGAACAGACAGACTGTGAGAAAATTTGGTTTTTAAATGTTTTAAATTTGAATTTAAAATAAAAAACTGAATGAAAAAAATGAAAAAACCTCACTAAATTAATTGATTTTCCAAATGGCTTTTTAAGCATTTTCTCCCACAGGAATGTCAAATATTTCTCTCTCTCATTACTTTTTACATTTCTGTTTTGCTGAGCAAAAGACTAAACTCCCTCTGTTGTATATAAGAGAACTAGTTTGATCCTGAAGACTAAAATGGTATTGTCAATAGGAATAACAGAATCTGTACATCTATACCACCTTAATGTGGAGACTGTTCTTCAAACATAAGTAGTTTCAGGAGCTGCAGAACCCATGCCTGAACTCCTTTTCTGGAACACGTGTTTGCAAGTGCTGACCAAGTCGTACACAGTAGCTGAGACATTCATTATATGTGGATTCAATGTGATGCAGTATCACAGATCAATTTCTTCAGTATAGACATGAATTTGTCTCCTCTATCTGGCTAGATATTTTCACCACACATAATGGCTGACTTATCTACCCTTCTGTCAGAGTTAATGCTTAAAAATGGGGGAAGTCTCTCCAAGAATTGTGGAGGAAAAGCAAAAAAAACCCCTTAAAATGAAGGCAGAGGAACAAAAATTTAAGAACATAAATATATTCACAGGAATGTCTTTGATGGAAATTATTTCCATGGAATAACCATAACCTTAAGTACCTTTTTTCTAGTCTTCCAGGACATAAATGTAGTACAGACTTTCTGGACTTCAGCTATTTTAGACACACTTCAAAGAAGTTCCAGTTTCTCTAGAGAACCATGCAAGCAGCTTGTGCTAATTACAGAGAGCCAGTTGACAACACAGCCACTTGCTCTATGGAAACACATGCATTAAAGAATTAGGAAAACATAAATTAAACCAAAATATTGCAACATCATCCATTCAATTCAAAATTAACAACTCAAGATTCGGATACTGCAGGAGACAATATCATAACTGCACAAGCAGTTACCAAATGCATGAAAAAAACTCATGCTCAGTTTTTTCCCTAACTTCTTTCACTTCTAATACTCCCAACAGACCTAGTCAGCCTCACACACGTGTTCCTTGTTACGTCCCTTTGCTTTTCAGTTCCTTTCCCACACATCAAGCCAGACTGTGAGCCTCAGGAGGGAGTTAGCCACTCCTCCAAGCTGCTGTGAGTCATTGTGATGTCTGCTGCATAGGCCAAATTAAGCCTGAATTTCTTGCTTCCACTAGGTAACAAGAACAATGAGGAAAAACATGACAAGGAGGTGAGAAAAGATCAAAAAGACAGGAATACTCTCCCTCAATATCCCTACCTTCCTATCATAGTTGTCATAGTGCATGGTGATGAAGAAAGTAAAACAAAGACACAGTGTAGAATTGCAAAAAAAAAGATTACTGCATTCCAACTTTCAAGTTTTCAGTCTTAAATCCTATTTTATCATGACAAATGAAAAAAACCCAAACATGCTACCTCATAATATATGTATATATTTGTGTACCATGTTAGAAGTACAAAGATGAACGCTGAGAAATTTATCTTTGGATACGAACATATATATTTTGTCTAAGCCTAAAATAAAGCTGTGCTAAATGAATACTTACCTCATAATTCATTCTCTTATCATTGTTTTCATATACATTCCTATTGTTTTGGTAAATGAAACCCTTAAGCACAGAAATTAAAACACTAACAGAAATTATTGATTGAAAGTTAATAACACAATTTTTGAACTCTGAGATCAAGAATTTTCATTTCATCTTAGTAGTCAGGACAAGACACTGAGGTAAGAAATAAGGTTTTTGGTTTAGATAAGCCAATTTAAATAATTCAGATGATTAACTTGCATTATAGCCTATTTTTAAGAAGATCACTTCTTAAAAGGGAGTCAAGAAACTTCTAATGTATTGGTGGCTGGAAGGGAATTTTGGATGCAAAGGGGCATGAGGGGAAATGCCAGCATACACATGCACTTTAAAGGTACCTACTACTATCAGAGAGAAGATTGTGAATTTAGAAGTTTTGCTGTATTGCCACATGAATATTCATAAAAAATCCCACAAATCCCAGAAATAAGACCAGCATTGAATACTAACCCTATTCCTATAACTGTATCACCACGACTCATGAACAGCACCTTGCTCCACTTGTAGGAGACTCTATAATTTCATTTTTGTGCACAATGCTTTAGAACAGTGGCACAAGTCCTCAGATCAACCAACCTAAGAGATCCATCATGTGCAACTTACAACTGCTTTCTGGGCATCCCTGAGTAGCTGAAAGAAACCAACCTGCCAATCTCTGCAGCACACCTAGAACTTCACTGCAGACTCAACATAGCCTTAACATGCAAACACAGTCTTTGCCTATTTCCTTTAAAAGCACCGCTTACATCTCATCCCAGCTGAATCACCAGCGGTTTGTTTTCATTCAAATCCCTCTGCCAGACGCTGGAGCAACTAATGAACTGCAGAATCTGGTCTTTAAAAATTTGACTTAGCAAACAAACCATCAACATGTTGATGACACTACCACCCAAAATATCACAGTAACAAGAGTAACAATTTACATGGGCTCTAAGCCAGTCTGTCTTTCCTATTCAAATTTCAAGAAAGCATGACCTAATTCCTGTACAAGTAGTAGAATCTGGAGCTTTTGTTAATTCAGTTTTCTTTACTTAAGCATATGTTTCACCACAGATTATTACAGTCATTAGAAGGAAAAATTTTATTTGGGTAAGATAAAATATGGCAAGCATATAGCCTATAATAAAAAACTAAGAGTAACATCAACTTGCTAACAGCTGAATACCTGTCCTGGTCATCTAAGTAATAGACTCCCAAATTCAGACCAATCAGATGAACCATAAATTTAATTCTATCTATTTAATTTAATTCTATATATTAGAACCATGTTGCTTCTGTCAAGCCAAGTTTTCTCAATCTTCCAAGAACTTTTACACTTCCATTATCATTCCCACATTACAATAAAGAAAGATTAATGCAGAGAAAACTGAAAAAAGAGGGAGAACAACTAAACAATAAAAAGCAGTAGACAGAACAAATAGGAGTACTGTTTCTCAAATACATCAGATGGATATGCACTGGAATTAGAAAGAACCACACAGCATTACCCTGAACAATTTCTCACAGCAAAATGGTATAAAGGTTTTTTTTTTTTAGTTCCGCTTAATAGTTTCTAGGTAGTATTTTCTAAAATCTCCAGGTACCTGAAAAAGAGATGGCCTATTGGCTTTCACTTTAATATTTCAGAGTATTCCTCAGTTTATGGTTAATTTCTGAATATCAAGGACTTCCTGTTTTACATTCAACAATATAAATTTGAACCAGAGTTCTGGTGGGTAAAATAATCACTTTCTCCCTTATAAGTATGTTATGTAAATATCTAAATAACAAAAAAAACCAAGAAATACTTTTTAAGGAAAGCTTATCTGATAATTAGCACTGCACTTTGGACATAACCTTTCATACATTTGCATAGGACAATATATGTGGCTACCACAGAAGTGGCCCAGCTGGATATGAGCACTCCTTTGTTCATACACATGCTGCAGTAATGGTGTTTTCATTCTGGACAGTACCTGAAGAAAATCCGCAGCCAGACCAGAGTTCAGCAGGGGGCTGCCCCCTGCACCCAGGCATCGGAAAAGGCAGTCACTCAACTACTATCACCAATCTGTCACTCATTTGAAGAAAATACCACTAGAAATTTACCAAGAAAACCCACTTCCTTCCTCACGAATTTATACAGGCAATTTTGTACAATATTCAGCCATTCCCATTTAAAAATCGGATGCAGAATTAACAAATAGCAGTAAACCACACATACGAAACATAAGGTCTGTTTCTCCAGATAAGAAAATACTGTGACTTATCACCATCTCTGTATAAAACAAGATTAAAAATGTCAGAAACTAATTTCTGCAAATGCTTCACCACTTTGTTTTACCTGCTTCTGTGTACTTCAATCCTACTTTTATTTCTTCATGATTTGCTTTTGGTGGCGGCCAGACAGTCTGGAGTCTCCCTGGAGTCTTGTCATCTTGCTCTGACGGACTCAGGTCAGGCTGTTAAAATTACACGAGAAAAAATTAAACTCTGCAGTATCAATTGATTCCAAACAGCAACTGCCATGCTCAGCTCTACACGTGCTCAAGAAAGATTATTTGTCTCATTCTACTGATTGAAACAGTGCTCAGTTGGTTGGAAGGGACACAAATAAATCAGTGTAGAAAAATATTTTTGAGGAGGAAAGTAGCATAATGCATGTGACATGCAGCGATTTGTTGAAACTGTTCACATCACTGTGGAGAGCTGTCTATCCTTTTGCGAACCACAGAGGTGGTCACGAATGCTAGGGTTTTTTCCTATATCTTCCTTCCAGAGTTAAATATTCCATAGTGTGCTCCTCTTACAAGTAAACATTAGAGCAATTCACCTAAGACATCATTTGACAATATAATTTTCTGGAAGCAGAGCTAGTTTATGCAATTCCTGCCCCACCCCCTGCAGATTGCTCAGTCCACGTACCAGGTAATACTGCCACATCAAAGTAATGCTGCAGCTGTTAATGGGACTGCACTGTCAACTGGAATGCTAAAATAACTCTTTAAATGGGGAAGGGGTGGAGGGGGAATGACCCACTAAACAAGCACTCTTTTAGAGGGATTTTCTGGGTGTTTTTTTATATCTCCAATATTTCTGTAATCCGATTTTCAACGTGTTACTACAAGTAATTGCATAGACACAACTGCAACAACAGTGCAACCCTGTAGGAAAATGGCCCCATAAATGGCCCACAGGAGCAAGGGCAAGGAAAGGCTAAACCCCTAGGCTCTGGCTTTGCCCTGGGAAAATACACATTTGCACTAGAGCGGACATTAAGCAGACATTTATAAAAGCCACTCCTGCTGACTGCTGTGCCTCCTCCCTCACTGTGTGTGATGACAGCTTCCCAAATAGGTTTGCTGAGAGCCACAGGAACGCTGACGCCAGCACAGCCACTGGTGTAAGCAGGAAGGAGCAAGCCAGGGATGGGAAGGGCACACTCAGACTGCACTTGCTGTACATTCCACAGCCAATGAATACCTGTTTTCTCCTCCCCACAGGTAATTTACTACAAACTGGTATTATCAGTATACCCAAGTGTTGACCAGGATTTTTACATGTTTTTTTTTTAATATTATGTAAGAATAAAAATTTGAAAGAGAGTATAACCAACACAGAAAACTAACATGTAGCTTCAGATTTAAGGTACAATCCTGAAAATATAATCCTTCAAGCAATTCCCCCTTCAGCCAACAAGAATCTCCTGGGCTGATTACATCTCCCAAAGATGTGGCTGTAAGAACTTTGGGTTGGGGGAATGCCAACCCAAAGGTTACTCATTTAATTAAAGAGTTCAAATCATATTCAAAGCCATTTATAATTGTATGAAAACTTTGCATTGATTTTTTTTTATGTAATAACTACATCTCCATATGCCTAAGAGCATTAACCTTGCAAACACTTATATTAATCAAAAACTTGAGTTGTCTAATTGAAATCACTAAGTTACACCCGGATAAGGTAAATGCTTACCAATATTTGAAAAGCCAAATATGTGCATGTAAACAAGAAAAAAAACCTTCCTGTTCCATGTCTTGAGCTGAAAATCACCCATAACTTCTTGTAACAACTCTTATCATACAATTATTCCCACAGGTAAAATGAAATACTACTTATAAAAATAAAATACTCAATGAATGAAAACAGAGCGAGATTCAGAAACTGTTAAATAATATTACAGTAAATATCTGCAGCATCAAAATGATTTAAAGCCATAATTAACATATGGAGAACTGCCATGTAGAGATCTTTTAATATCAGAAACTGATTGTTAAGTTCTCACTTCTAATGGAGAGACTTTTACTGTTGTCATCAGTTGTGGCTGAATTCTGCTTCAACTGCAGATGATCAAAAATTCTGACAAATTAGCCCCAAGACTTCCTTGGCTGGGAATCCAAATTTTGAGATTTCCAAAAGAGAAGCAATTCTGACATTTTGACCTTAAGTCCCCACCAATAATATTTAAACAAGAACATTTAATCCTTCTACTTCCAGATCTTAGGAAAAAAAAGTAATTCAACCTACAGATTTGTCTGATGGTCCATCCCCAGGTTTTGATTTTGACCTTTCAAATACAGCTTTCAAGGACTCTTTTTCATTTCTCATTTTGCGTTTCAGGGCTTCCAGCTCTGAAGGATCTGCAGTTGTTTCTTTCTTGGGAGGTCGCGTGAATAAGGCTTTAAAGGCATCCAGTGCAGATTCAGCAGGGCTTGATTTTATCTCCTCAGAGGGAAATCGTGGTTCTCTTTTGCTGGAGGCTTTGTTCTCTTGAGCTTCATCACTGTCCTCGGTCTCCCCAGATCCCTCAGCAGAGTCCTCAGTTCTATCTTCATTCTTGGAGACGTCTATGTTTAACAAGTGTGAGAGTTGTTCTAGAAAAGTGGGATTTGCTTTAGGTTCAGATGATTTTTTTTTAATGGTCAAACCTGATGCAATATTGGATTTCTTAACAGGCTGTCGTAATTTAAGCAGAGCTAAATCATTCTCCCTTGGTTTAATTTCTGTAACAATTTCCCCATCTTCTGTGGTTAGTCCCTTTTTTCTGACACGTAGTCCACTGAAGAAAGCAGGCAGCTGGAAAGTCTTTTCAGCCAGTGCTGTTTTTTGGAGTGATATATTATCAACGGAAGGTCTTTGTTCTTCATCTGAAAGTTCTTGAGGACATTCTCCTGTAGCAAGCAAATGAGTGAATTGCTCATCCATTAACATTTTGTCTTTTCCATTGGAGTCATACTGTAGAATACCATCCAGCTCTTTTGGGAGCTGGTTAGAGAATGGTGGATGTAATTCAATGTCGTCTGTATCCACAGTGTCATCACTGTTGCTGTGCCCTTCTGATTCTGACTCTTCCTTATTTTGATGGCTGTTGTCCAAGGCCTCAGCAGACAAAGCAGCATTTTTTAGCCCATATTTGCTTGCATTGTTCTCATCGGTGTCTAGGTCCTTATTCTCCGTGTCCGATTCTGTGTCACTTGTTGTATGAACCAAAGTACCTTGTACGAGAATAACATCCTTGTCATCATTGTCAGATTCAGACAAAGAAGGCTGAACAAACCTCAAATGCTGAAGAAGTAATTCATTTTGGTCAGCTAAGTCCAGCTCCAGGCCTGCCTGCCTGCCAGACATTGGGTCAGCCTGGTCACTGGTACTATCCACGCTGTGCTGATTTTCTGAGTCCTCATTACATCCATTATCATTCCTCTCATGCCAGGTGTTAGCGTGAGTATTTATATTGCTGTGCAAAGGTTGAAATGCTTTAAGCACTGTTTCTTCTGTAGGAGCTGTAGATTCAAGCTTAGTTGTAAGTCCAAACAGTGTTTTCACAGAAAATGTAGTGAGTGGGTTAGAGTCGCTTTCTGCTGTGTTCTTCAGGTCTAAAAGCTGACTACAGTCAGGCATCCCATTATGTTCTTCCATGTTGCGTGAAGTAGAGAATAGGTTCGCTCGCAGCAGCGCTGCTGACTGCTGAGCCAACACTTACTGCGCGCATTCAGGCTGCCGGCGGGTCGGCTGCCGGCGCTGCAACAGGCGGCCCGGCCCGGCCCGGCCCGAGCAGGCCGCCGGCCTCCCGCGCTCCCGGCCGGGCCGCCCCGCCGCTCCTTCCGCCGTCGGGGCTCCCGCTCCGCCAAGGGAGCAGCACAACGACCCTCCGTAAAAATCAGTTCTCGGCGGCGTCTGGAGCTTGTTCCCTCGCGCGAGAGGAGTCTGTCCCAGCACTAACCTCGGCTGGAGCCCGGCCGGCGGTCCCCCGGTGCTCCGCACCCCGACGGGCTGCGCGCCCCCGGCAGCTACAGCAGCCGTCCCGCCGGGCCGAGCGCGCCGCCGCTGCTCCCTACTTCCTTGTCCCGGTGCGCCAGCGCTGGGTGGTTTTCAGCAGAAAATTCCTGACGGATTCCTTTGCATAGTCTTTCCACTAGGATAAAGAACTTCTTTTGTAAATCCATAATCACCAAAAAATGTCAAATGGAAACCCGAGCTAAGGACTCTGAAGCTTTCTGTGCCCCCTCCTGAAGCCCTTGGAGAGCCCCCAGTGCCCGGCCGGGCAGAGCCAACTCGGGTGAGCGCCCTTGAAGCAGAGGAAAGTAGGAAAAAAAGAGACTCTCTTCCGATTTGCTGGAGGTTTCATCTGGAATGCAGATTTCAGCCTCCAGGGCCATGAACAAAAACCAACGAGACTGGTTTCATGTTACCACTGTCCTTGCCCTGCACAGCTCCTGCTGAGAGGTGCACGCAGGTACTTATCAGACGCTGCGGCCGCGCCCAGGGACCGGGAGCGCCGGGCGGCGGGAGAGCGGCCAGCGCCCGGCAGGGCCAAATTAACTGTTTAGGAATCGGACAGCCCTGTCCATCCACGGCACCAGCCTTGGGTGGGTCCGAACCAGAACAATCTCTGCTGACATATTCTGTGATGATTTTCACAGACTTTACCGCTGTATGTGCGAGATTTGTTTAGTTGAAACGAACAAGAAAACTTGAAATGTACAAAACTGTCTAACTCAACGTTGACTGAAACTACCAAGGATACTATGTATTTTTTAATCAATAGAGATGGAGAAAGTATATAGAAAATACTCTGAAGCACTGTTGATATTCAGAAAGTCAGTAACATTTGGAGCAGGTTTCCATCACAAGTCTACACTTTCGCTACTTTTTTTTTATTATTTACTCAAGTTTAAGGGTAGTTCTACAGTTATACATTTAGCTGTGATGAGTAATCTTAAGCAAGCAACATGGGGAAAGCTGTCCTTCGCAGGGAAATCAGCTACAGATCACATTGCTGTATGTGATTACCAAAAGACATTTACTAAAATGCTGAATATTGCAGCCAACAAGCAACAACAAAGTATCCCAACACATTTAGCTTTTGGTTTAATGTTTAAAAATGTAGACTGTACAAAAAACATTTGTCAACAGCAAAAGCAAAAGCCATTGGTATCTCCTGCAGGAACAAGGTTTCTTG